GTACAGTAGTAAAACACAATACTCTGCAAGGCTAACCCACATGACAAGGTTCCAGGTTCATGTCCAGAGACCTCCCTGACTATGCCAAACATGTATAAGCCCATGAACTGTGTCTAGCTGAGGCTAGGCGTAGATCAAGACCCTGTCAGGGGTAATGTCTCTATGTCTTTCTATTTCTGTCACACATAGAAATAAATAAACTTAAAAACAAAAATAAAAACAAAAACAAGGGACAGGTGAATTTGGGCACATAAAAATTAATTTTATAGTTAACAAAGTGGCAAGTTTAAAAAAAATCACTTAGGGAACCAGCAGTTACAGTAATGGCTATGTCGCTGGACTCCCACGTAGTCGACCGCGGTTCGCGTCCCGGACCTGGTGGTTTAAAACTCACGCTGGGCGCGTGTGCATGTATGCCCAAGATCCCGAGAGGAGAATGGAGGAGAAGGGACTGCGGCATGACCATCCCCCCTGGGGGGGTGATTTCTCGCTTTCTGTCTCTATGTCTCTGTCTGTCTGGCGAGCGCACGTGCCCTATAGTGAAAAACCTCTCAAAAAAAAAAAAACCTCACTTAGACCAGCAGGTGGCATGGTGGCATGGTGGTTAAAGGCACTGGATTCCCACATGGCAAACCATGGTTCAAGTCCTGGACCTGGTGGCTTGCTCTCTCACTTTCTGTCTCCCTCTCTCTCTCTCTCTCTCTCTCTCTCTCTCTCTCTCTCTGATCAAACTGAAAAATAATAATAATAATAATAGTAATAAAGTTAAATAAAATATTTTTTTAAAAATCATTTAAATTTAGGCATATTAGAATAAAACTCGGTAAATATACAAGGTGGGAATCTTAAAAGCGCATTAAAAATGTGTATTATGGAATAACTGTGCATGGATTTTAAAATGTTTTATACTTAAATAAACCTGCACTTTGATTCCATTTTCCATGAACTTTTTGAAGTCTCCCAATACAAGTATCATGCTTCTTTTATTCTGTTATTTCCACAGTACATAAAATACTTATCTGTTGCACTAGGTATCACTTAAAACAACAGATGGTTTATACCACAGCTGCTTTGCATTTCTAGATTATCATTAATACTAACTCTGCATTTATCAAATAAATCCATTTTTCATTTTATAAAAAGGGATTGTTGCTGAATTGATGATTAATTGTTAATTTCTATTTTGCAACACCAATCTGCTAAAAAGTATGCATTTTATTTGTTTCTCTCATCAGAGAAACAGTGATATTTTTCTCTAGGTACAATTAATCAAAAAGAATGATTGCTCAACAGCATTCCCTTTAATATTCACATCCTTCCGTCAGGCAATGGTCAGACACAGTGCTCACATTAGTCACTATTTTTGATTCTGCTATTTCCATTCATGGAGCTCTCCAAAGTTTTGGGGCCAGCAGGTGCCATGGTGATTAAGGTGTTGGACTCCCACAAGGCCGACCACAGTTCAAATCCTGGACCTTGCAGCTTGCTTTCTTGCTTTCCCTCTCTCCCTCTCTCTGTCTGTCTGGTGAGTGCACATGCCCTATGGCATAATTGAAAAAGAATAATAATACTAAATAAAATAAATAATTCTTAAAATAAGTATTAAAAAAAGAAAAAGTGCTAATCCTTAATTAGTACCACACATCTAACTTGCTAGTCCCCAAGTCTCAAGTCATTTCATTAATGTTCACATATACTCTATTCATTCCTTTTCAAAATGTAGAGAAAATGAAGAATGAATCAATATGAACTTTTGCCAGTATGGTTTACTACGTTAGCTGTTCCTACAATTAAGATCTATCATCGACGTCAACATCTGAGGTGATATCACTGAGCTACATGTGCTCTCTGCTAAATATCTCCCTCCACAGCTTATAACCTAGTACTGAGAGGACCAGAGCCATTAAGCAGACAAAAACGGCTTTTCCATTCCTATGAGAAACTTGACCTTTGGCATTACAACCCCTCAAGAGAAGTTTCACTGTCAGAACTTTCACCCTCCCCATAGATATGCAGCAGATAATTTCAAAGATTTAAGAAGATGCAATCCATCTTCATGAGAAGATTTAAAAGCTCTACATCAAGTTGTTCCTCTAAAAGAAAGAAAGAATGTCCTAGACAAATATTAAATAATAGCATAGAATCAGTCTTTAAAAGTAGATTATGGGGCCAGTTCATGGCGTGGTGGTTTGGGTGGCTGCATCTCTCAGGGCTAACCCACTTCCCATGGAAGATGCTTGCTTGCTCGCTCACTCGCGCGCTCTCTCTCTCTCCCCCTTCTCTCTCTAGCAAGTGCACATGCATGCTGGCAAAATTAAAAACACACACACAAATGATAGCAGATTAAAAAGTGTAATTCTATAAAGGTTATAAAAGAGAGCTCTAGCTCCAAAACTTCTGGCTTTTTTGTTTCCACGTGATGCCTTCTCTTCTAACACATATTATTTACCTAGATATGTATTAAAGAATAATTTTATTCCTCTTTCTCATATTGTGATAATGATGAAAACTGGCAAATAATATGCTCTACCCTCAAAAAAATTTTGATCAAAAATAAAAATTACATATCCCTGTAAATTATAGTAAATAACTGAAGCATTAACTTTAGCTTTACTGTAATAAAAAAAAAAAGTCTGGAAATAGCCAAAATGATCAAGAATAAAAACAAAAAAAAATCAATATTACTAAGCCCAAGAAAGCATAGTTATTAGAGGTACTTAACTCACAAGAAAAGATAGGTCTCTGCTTTTTGAATATGGATTAAAATAAATCTAATTTTTCTTCTTTCAAGGAAATGTCAGTCCAACTTGTATAAAGAAAACTGACCTAGAGTGGAAATGGCCCATACTGTA